GAACTCACCATACCACACTATCTCTTAAGTATCAGTTAAACTTCTCTATTTCCTCTCCATATAGTCAGAGATCTCAGAGAATCAAATAGTTAAAACAATTTCCAAATTTCCACTTCCCAGACCTTGTAGCCGGTCCACAAGTTTTCTCAGAATTGTCTATCGTTTCGAAGTCGATGGACAGGATATTTTATACCCCAAGGACCATATGTCGATATGGAGTAAATCCCGAGTATGATTAATCGACTCGATTTTTGGGAAGATTAGATAATTTCGTTTATTGATCATTTCGTTAAGTAGATCGATGTGGTGAATCACCGTTCCATACTCCTCACTTCTACCCTGTTAGCTCTGCAGTACATCCCTTGATACGCGAATTTTTCTTGAATGAGAAATGTATCAAACACTGTTTACCTGAACATTGGAACTATCAAGCCTTAAATATATGGTTAGCAAATATTGCGAAAAAGACGCATTGTTGTTGTGTCCAAATTTCACATCTTCAACGGAATGCATCTGAACGGGTTGGAAAATTTGTAGAGACAAATCGATCTGCAGTGAGCAATCACTTTTCAATCTGCCTTTGTGTTGTGTTTTGACTGGTGCCACGCATTTTATCCCGCATTTGTCGAAGTGCAGTAGTAATATGACTGTTTTCGTTGTCGAAAATATCACAAATTCATTTACTCGCAATGTAGCTTATTTTTACTATCAACTCTTCATACTCAATGATTGGAAGATCACAAATACTGATAGTTGGTCTCTTATGCACCCTTCTCCTTTCTTTCACGCTTAAAGTTGTTCAGAATCTGCTCTTTGTTTGAAAAAAGAAACATCAAAAAATGGTTAGGTCATTTATATTACTACCTTGGGATTTCTCGCTTAGAGCAAATACTTGACGCCAATCCCGAGGGGGTGGCAGGTGAAAAACGGGGTGGGTGAAGAGGTGTATGGGGATTAGTTGATTGAGTGGATGAGGTTGGGTTATCTTAAGTATCGCTATCATAGGTATCTCTATCATAGGAAGTAGGTTGAATTTCCTGTATTCACTCTTCTACCATCCCATCAACTCTCCCTCTTAATTACTATTACCACAGCATCTCCACATGTTTTCCCACATAATCTTCAGATTGCAGCTATTTCAACACCATCTGTTTGATTCCCACATCCACAAAAGTGTGGGAAGAATTGGCTAGACAATATGAGGCTCGTCAATTCAGCATGAATTATTCTGTGCAATACTGTTCTATCTTATAGATCTCGGTACCTGGATATAACCAGTTAGGAAGCAGAAATTCGATATCACAGAGAAGGATAATTTTTCGTGGAGGGATGAGAAATTTTGTTGTCGGTTACCCAGTACTCTCTTCTCTGTTAAGTTTTGAGTGTCATTGTTATGCATCAATTCTCACTGTAATAAAACTCATGATCATGCTGGAATTTCCTGCACGAGATGGGCAGTCAAATTGCATCAGTTTGATGGGTCGTACATTCATAGCCATATCAACGCACCAGACTGTAATTGGGTGTGGATCTGGGGAGATATCTTCGTTCTTAATATTTCGTTAGATTGAATTTTGGATGGAATTTTCTTGGGGTGAGAAGCTGTATTAAATCCAATTTATAGCTGATACCATGAGTGATACTTCGGAGTATAAAGTCAATCCTGTTCGGTATGGATATATTCTATAATTGGATTTGAGTGAAGTTTTATACCCCTCACACTCAATTCACCTCTCAGTTTCTCTTCATATCCATAGTCAAGATTGAAATTCTTTCCAATATCGGGGTATATAAAGACTCCCTCCATTCAATTACAAGCAGTATACAGCATAAATTGATATCTCTGAAATCTGGGAGACTCAGCAAGTGGATTGTCAGTGATGAATGGTTTATTCGAGAATTCTCCTGGGGTCCTTTCAACCGAGACAAAATTATTCACATCTTGATCTGCAGTCTTGAAGGGAACTTGCAACTTTGTTACTGTCGCTGATTGGGCGTTTATTGTCGTAAGTTTGAATTAGATACTATTATCGTTTATGTGTTCAGACCAACAAATTGGACAGGGAGCTTGCATTTTGTCAACTAAAGCGAAAGGGAAAAGGAAAAAAAGTATGAAATCATCATTACCAGCTACAATACTACCAGGCGTAATCATTCGTATTCACATTAATTACACGTCAAAAAAGATCTTTCTTTTCTATCCCCTACCGTACTTGCTCAAGTGTTAATCCTCTTTGATGAGAAAATTGAGCAGGAAGTTACTCAGTGCTTTTTATATTTGAGAGCTGGGCTATTGACATAAGTTTTGACACGTTATCTTCATGTACTTCATTCAATGGTCTGTTTTAGATCAACAGAGGGGATTTTAAGATGGGCGTGCAATTTATTCACTGATATGGATGCGAGACCGGGCACATCTTTCACTTAGTGAACGACTTATCTCTTGGTATATAAAGATATCTTTTTGTCGCTCAGAGACATTATAGTTTTCGAAAAGGCTTGGGGTGACGAATTAATGTCGTTTGACGTCCTTGTATATTCTATATTACTGAGGAAGTACTCCCCAACAAGTCAACCCATTGCACAGGAACTTGATCTACGTTACCGTCGTCAGCCTTCCACAAATCACGTCGATCTTGCGATTGTTGTCAGTGCACTCAATTATTATTGCTCTAAATATTCAGCTTATGCAACAGCTTTGTATATTAATTTTCATCCGAGTGGATATGAGGGATGATTCTCTAAGGTTTTAAAAACTTGCTTGTTCTGTTCTCGTCTCGTGCGCCATTGAAGATATAACTTTTCTACTTCATTCATATATTGCACTTCTCACTCTTGGCACTCTGGCATGTATTTATTACGAGAGACAATAAGATTTGGGACTCCGTGAAGCTCTTCTGGAATTAGGCTATAGTGTAATGAATAGCTCGTGTCGCTCGCTTAGGAGCAAGCCGGGAGGAAGGTCTAAGCTGTATCCTGAGTTGCTAATTATATAATTGTCACTGTCTTTGTGTAGATGTAGCTCTAGAAATTGTTACACGAATCTCGGGATACTTACGATTGGATGCACAGGAATAGTGGTGTTCTAAGTGTCAAGATAGACTTTTTGTCCTTGTGGTCGTCTCACTGACGACTGTCATTAACAACGATAGTCGTGGATTCTCTAATAAATTTGTTGGGTTGACTTAGTAAGGGGTGTGTATAGGGTTAAATAGTATTGAATTCATGTCTGTCCCCTTCGTATGAAGGGGGCATTGCTAAGCTATATACACGTTCTCTGTCACGTGTTCCAACAAATTATATGTCACTTCCAATATAATTGAGTGGTAAGCCATGGATTGCATTGAATATCAAAGTTTGAGTCTTTCGAATGGTTCGTAGAATCCAATTTGAAACTACTCTGAAGAATCTTGAACCAATGTTCTCTTATCTTAAAAACTCAGGTCTTTTCGATATAGTAACATCTGATCCGTCTAGAGACTGCTCGCTGTCTGAACTCACCCCAATACCGGGCATAAATATTCCATAAATGCTGGCCGCAATCGCCAAATGTTAAAAAAAAAACAGTCAATCTCCGCCCGGCGTTGCACATTGTCGAACTCTTGTAAACGTGCATATAGTCCTAGAGATTCTGATCCTGCGCTTTTTTCACATATTCCTAGAAACGCACTTAACTTTCGCCTTTTACTTCTTTTCCACTTACTCTACTCATATGCTCAGTATATTCGCCACGAACTATTACGTGAAATAATGTCCGGAAACCAATGGAAACAAAAAAAGCCCCTCGTTGATGCCAGTATCGAAGATGCTACTACATATTAGCGATCGATTCGCGAATCAAGATTTCGCAGAGATCGAGTACACCCGTCAGGGTTCTTGCCATCGCATATTCTACTTGAAGTGTCGTCGTGTCTGTTCATTTAAGAGCTTTGTATTAGCTTCAACGAAGAGTAGGCACACGATTCGTTTAGCCTTTTTCGTTGCCCGTGTCGAGCATCGCGAACAAATGCCCTTGAGTACTGAATGTGAGAGTTTCGCTGGATATCTGGATCTAATTGTTGCAAGAAGTTTGGGTTTCAGTTTTGGTAATCGATGTGTTATTATACACAGCCTCTAGTTTTCGTTGCTCTGGTCTGTTGCTGGGTTGCGAAGTGAAGTAAATAGATGTAAGTAGAAGATTAGACGGTAGTCATCGCGGCAAATTATCAGCCCAGTCGTCTGACATCAAGGATTTATTTCTCTTGAAATTGAATCTTTTCAAATGATGAACAATTTAGCACTTTGCAGATTCTTAGCGCTCATACGAAAATTGCACAAATGACATTTATCGTAGTTTGGATGAATAAATAGGTTAGCAGAGGACCCGTTTGTGCCTTTTATAGAAACACTTTTCTTGTCTTGAGTATCTTGAGGCTTGTGCTTCTCTTTGACCTCTGAATCATTTTCGGTGCATGGCCCCTGAAACTGAATGATGGTATGTTTCATTGTGTCTTGAGTTGGATCAGTACTTCGACATTGTTAGCCTAGCCCGACTTTGTGTTTCATTGACGGGGAACATTTAACTTGTGAGATCTAATATGGTTGCTATATGAATGACGGAATCAAAGGATGCTGTATTCACTTATACAGCTTCGTATTGAAGTCAACTAATAATATATCTTGGAAAAAGAAGGCAGCCCCACATTTAAAGCTGTGCTTTCAATTATATGTGAAAGTGAGCAGTAGTGGCATCTGTAAATCTTTGCCTCACGAGTCCTTTAAACACTTTATATACAAACACTTCACCATTTTCAGTAACCAAATCCTCTTTCGCGCCACAGTTCTTATACGTCATAACAAGTAGGTAATAGATCTTGGAAACCGCAGAGATATTCAGATTTGAGAAATTTACAGACAGATCACTTCTTGCACTTTTAAGGTACTCCACTAAAAAGCTATCCAATTTCAAGAAACGTTGATGCCACACAAGCTCGCACAACTCTGGTCATCAACAACTAGTCATGGATCCTCTTACTGAGATTGTTGTTTATAACGACATGGAAGAAGTCGGGATGCATGAAGAATCGTCAGATACTTCCCGACAAAGAGAAGACATCTGGAGTAAGACTTCAGCCATCAATCATTCAGAAAAAATGGAGCCCACCTCATCCTCACCCAAAAGATCCTCAAATTCTTCTGTCGGCTTCCTCGACTTATCACTTGAAATTCGACGCATGATCTATGATGAATACTTTATCGTCACCGAACCAATCTCATTCCAAATTGGACCGTCCTCATCGCTGGCCTTACATCTTGATAAGAACTATGGTCTCCACCCCGCACTGCTTCGTGCGAACAAAAAAATACACAGTGAAGCCGCACCATATCTTTACTCCAATCCGGTGTTCAATTTGGTTGGCATCCCCCCTACACTGCTACTACCCACTACCGATGCAGCTTTTGCTTATTTCTTGAGACAAATCGGTGTTCCTAATACAAAGCTTCTTCGTCACCTCATTGTCGACTTTCCCGAATTCAACCCTTGCCCTCGAGATTGCTTCCGCCCAGGAGAGGTTCCCATGCCTGTTGAAGGTTCTGTAAGAATTTTGAAGCAAATTCACGACCAGTGTACAGAACTTGCATCACTTAAAATGGCATTACATGGATTACATGATTTTTATTGGGCATTCAGCGATCCCAGTTGCGTTCAAAATGACTTGATTGCTACAGACTGGCTACACAAGCAATTACAGGGCCTGCCATTCTTGAAAGATATCGTCATTCATCTTCAAGTCCTTGAACTGAAGCGTAGAGATTATCCGGGATGGATAGAAAAGTCGCGGGGGTATGGATGGAGCTTCAAGGTCACGGAGTATGAGTATGACCTTACAGGAAATAAGGATGAGGCTCTGAATCTTATTACAGAGGCTGTGTCCGATCAGGCTAAGATGGAATATTCCAGGAACAAAATTCAGCGAGGATATTATATTAAAAGACAGACCTCTGATGGAGGATCTGAGATTGACTACGAATTGTCGTATTTTGTGGCTTGTTGCAAAATTGAGGAGGGTCTCCTTCAATCAGCATAGGATAAGCCCACTATCATTCGAGAATTTTATTCATGAGCGCGCAACCAACAACTTCCCTCAGACTTTCACACACACTCAGCTTATGTGGTTCGATGATCCGCAGCAAGATTCTCATTTGGCGGTTGGATAGGGACGAATATGGGGTCTCAGATAGGATACTTTGAAAATTCATTAGCTAGTTTCCAAAGTAATCCAGTTCAATCATTGCAATTTTTCATTGACATGGCGTGTGTTCATAGCAGGGGAAACAGACCAGAGGAATGAATGCGATATTGGCTATGTAAATTGAGTATAGCGCCAATGTAAGTGCCACAATATTTCCGCGATTTGCTGAAATTCAAGTATTTTTTCTCATGTGTCTCACTACCACATCAACCCCCAAATTGACTTACTGGCACGAGCGTATCACATCTTTATTGGGATTTCTTTGATGGATGAGTATCTACAATCGAGAGACAGAGTTAAATAAGATAACCTCCATAGGTCTCTCTTCTCCCGAGGGTTATCTCATCTTCACGTGGCGGTTTTATGACCTACTTGCCACCGAGTTCTCTCACGATATTTCGTTTATAAAAGGATAATCTAATATAATCTATCAAAAATAGAGATTGTGTAGATAGCAACCTCGACAAATATAGTGGGCGGAAATTTCTGGAGAGGACACACTCCGAAAATCAGGAATAAATTTTGACTTGAATCAAGCCAAAGGGATATGGGTCTCGGTGATATTTTCAGCTCTCTTCTACTGTCGATACCTGGATATTACCTGTCAATGACAATTCAACACACAGAGAGAGATTCACCACGCAAAGATTCTCATTACCATACTGTGTTTCATTGTTGTTATGACAAGTAGTCTCTCATCTTGACACAGTGAACGTCGCATTTTCTACACTTATGACTCCACAATACCAACCTCCATGGGATTATCCCCTTATTAGAAGCTATGGTGATCACTTGCTCTCAGTCCCTCCACAATTACTATCCCGTACATTCCTCGTCTACTAATCGACAGCCTCTCAAGTCTTATATAACCCAGTATTTTGTCTCGCTTTCGATTATCCTAATTAACCCCACCTCCAATAGTATATTGACTCAACTCTTCTTGTGATCCTCAGCACGCAACTTCAGAGACCACATATCAGTTAATATCACGAGAACTAGGTGTTCATCTCTCCTATAGTAATATTTGACAACGCTTCTGAAGTGAATACCATATAATGCGCCACATAATGCATGGCCTCATAGATTTTCAGCAATAGCTAGGTAGACTCATGTAGTGAACTACTAAGGCCAAATTCGATATCATAGCAAGACTCGAAATATTCTATTCCACAACCACTCTCTAAAGAGCTTTCGATTCATGTGGAAAACCTATAATGTAATATCCATCAACTTAGGTATGCGCAGTTCAGCTACCTAGAGTATTGACCTATTCAAACAGATACGGGAGATTCTCAACAAGCGTACTCGAGATAAACTCAACAATCTCAACCACAGGGAGATTGAACACGCAAAGAGGGATCGTAAGTGAATTCAAGAGCCTAAATTTCAAAAGATTGAGAAAGTGGAGACAAAGAAGCCATTGAGAATTTGCTTTGCGTGTGGATTCGTAGAGATGACGCAATAGAAGTTGAAGCAATATTGAGGAAATTAGAAGGAAGTATATTGTTATAAGTACCTCCGAGGAAGAAGATTTGTAGCAACGTATAGATTGAGACAATATGGAATTCATCTGGTATGGGAGATGAAAGATTGTGCGAAAAGCATATTCTAGAGCCTGGTATAGAATGTTCACTTGATCTTGGAATAGAATCAATAATTGGAGAGACAATGCCGAGTACCTGGAGAAACGAAGACATCCTGCACAACAAAAATTGTTAATAGATGGCATAACATTTACAAACGACAACAATACAAGATATACCAAACCACAATCAAAAGCGAAAAGACTGTCAAATGAAAGATCAAAAACTCCTGAATTCTCATCTAAAGTTCGTCCCATCATATGTGGCGATGACCAAGTATGCATTGTGCATACACATTATATACTGGCGAGTATTAGTTCTCAGCCGATTATCCAAACATAAAGCCGTGATTTCATCCGAAACTCTCATCTACCAGATGTAACGACCACAACCTTTGTCAAATTCATCTACAAGCTGAACTCGACCTTCATAACCTCATCAATTCCATCCTTGATAGCACTAGTCTTAACCTCATCCAATTTCTTCAAAGGTGACCTTGGGTATCCACCATATCCATAGTAGCTTTGAATGGCACTCTTGGTGCCAGCAATGGCAGCCTTAGTAAGGACCCAATCACCCTTGCTCAAAATCTTTTGCAACTCAAAAGCCTCATCTCTCTTTCCTTCTCTGTACAATTCCCAAATCTTAACACAAACCTTTGGCATAACATTTGCACCACCGGCAATGATACCCGAACCGCCGGAAACCAAGGTTTGAGCAGTGAAATCACAGATACCACCGAAAGCCATGTAGCCAGAACCTTCCGAAAAGACGGTCTTGGCATTGGTGGCCAAGGCAACTCTAGTAAGTTTTCCAGTGCTACCACAGGTGAATTTAGTACCGATGATATTGCGGTGTTTGGCGAGACGGATTAAAAGATCGGAATCCATATCAATACCGGCAACGGCACCTGGGTAGTTGTATAGGATGATAGGTAAAGGTGATGCATCAGCTACTTGAATGAAATAGTTGTAGACGGAATCTTCATCCATCAGACCACGGAAATAAGAAGGTGGTAATAACAGAACGTATTCTCCACCCGCTGCTTCTGATTCTTTGATGAGCTCGAGGGTACCACGAACGGATCCTTCTGTAGCTCCGACAATGATGGGAACTTGATCAAAGCCCGCGGCATCGAGAGCTTCACGAGTAGCACGTGTGACAGATTGCTTTTCGGCGCGGGAGAGATGGACAGCCTCACCGTTAGATCCCATGGTTACAAGACCCACGAGACCGGCTTCGGCGAGACGAACAGCATGTTTCTTGATGGTGGGAATGTCGAGCTCTTCAGTCTCAGGGACAAAAAATGTCATAGTTGGAGCGTAAATTCCATCTCTGAGAGGTCTACGTGTAGAGTGACCATTGGAGCCGTTGGTTGCCGCCATTGTTATGATTTTTTATATGTATAGATGAAGAGAAAGTGGGGTTTAAAGTGGGAGGCGAGGTACTAAGAATTTAGATATGTAAGAGAAAAATTTTATTTTCAAGAGGGTATACGTAAGGTAGTATGAAGAGAAAAAGAAGAAGAGAATGAAAGACTGAAGTAGGAAAGAGTATCTTATGTATATGCTAGCAGCAAAAAATTATGAGCAATCTTCTGAATGACTTGACACAAATCTATGCTAAATTAGTCCGAGGACCGGTGACCTATCTTTTTGTGAATAGTATAAAATAAGATTGAGTGGTTTTCCATCAGGATGCCGAATCTAGGAGGTCCATGGAGCTCGAGCCTGGAATAGTGTGCCGGACTTCCCTGGTAGTTTCTCAATTCATGATCTAAATTTGTGGGAGTAGTGGGGGGACTTTCTAACTTCCTCGTCTAAGATTCTTCCGATTTGCGTGTCAACCATGCATTGATAACGTTAATTGGCAAGAGGTTTAAGAAAAAGCGGGTTGAAGTAGAAGGGATTCATGACTTTGAAAGATTTCTGCTTCAGGGTGTACACAGATATGTTCTTGAATTGGCATCTGGTCGTTTTTCCAGTTGCCATGTATGTATCTTTGTACGTATGGTTCTTGTTGATCGTTTCCTGGCTGTCTAGACGATGATGCACGGCACACATCCCATGACTAACGGTTTACTGTAATAGATTTATGCATGCTAAAATGACAATCAATATGATATGATCAATGCCGTCTGAGCCATTCAGAGGTGTTCCAATTGATGGTAGTGAGTGAGCGTTGTTCGAAACATGTGGACTAAAATTGTCAATTCAACATTCTGAGTGTCGTTGATGCTGGAAACTATTTTTCCACCAATGAACTTCCCGATAATGCCAAGGGCGTGGGGTAGAAATGTGGCCAAATTGAAATTAGTTCAGGCTACTAAAAAGGGATGCGGGGCAAACTTGGGGAGTGGGAGAAGATGTTTCTGGGTACAGAATGGGGAAAAAACCTCATGATCAAAAAGTTACTCTATTGTGGATTGTCTTAAGATGATATACAATCTAGCTAGACGTTGAGGCTCAATCATGCAATATGATCCGTCTAATTTCAAGACTAAGAGAAAAGATGCAGAAGACGTTTGCAAATAGAGATCGGAGCACAAGATGCTGTACCTATGAAATCAAGATCGCGGGGTAAAAGACTCGAATGATTGGAGAATGGTTATATGATGGTGTTCCTAATTAGTATGACAGCCCTCAACTCGAGGAATTGAGAGATCGTGGTAGTCGTCCCTGAAATGTAATACAATAATGCGGAAATGCTTAATTACGATGAAATCCAAGACTATAGAAGAGTTACATTCTAAGAAAGTGTCGACTTTCCTTCCATGTAGAGTCTCATCAAGGATCTTTCTAGATATCCGAGCCAACCCCTTCATCCCGCAATTTTTCTCGCTTTTTAGCCCCGGATAATTAAGCAGCGAGCAACTCCGATATTGACCCCTCAAATTCTCCGCCAAAACTCGTGATCCAACAATTTGTTTCACAGTGATTCTTTCCTTCATGGTTAAACAAATTAATGCTTGGAAGCTAAGGGTAATTGAACCACCACTTTCATTATGAAGTCGACATCATCCCCCACTATCTTAAGCTCTCTATTCACTTGCATCTCAATTGACTTTGGGTCAATCTTTACTTGTTCTTCATCTTTTTAGAAATTTCAATACACTTTACACAAACGGGAATCTAAACACTATCATCATGGCTTCAGATTTGAAACCCCTCAATGTCCTCATGGTGGGAACTGGTGAATATACCACCGGCTTCGTAGGAGGTGGAGCTTCAGGATCAGACAAGAAAGTTGGAGTTGTAGGACTTTCGTTATTTGATCTGCGAAGACGTGGAAAGGTCGATAAATTGTCTATGGTTGGCACATCTGGTGGAAAATTTCCAGCCATCCGTTTGTCTCCCACTTCTTTCTCAATGCGTATCGTCCTCCTCGGATTACCCACTGACTGAATTTACCAGGCGAACATCTTAACAAGAACATTTCCCAAGTTTACAACAATCTCGACACATCCTTCGATTCCTTCCCAGCAAATGACAAAACAGATCCGGCAGCTTACAAGACTGCTATCGATGCGCTTTCCCCAGGTGATGCCATCACAATCTTTACTCCCGATACAACTCATTACCCCATTGCCCTCTACGCTATAGAACGTAAAATTCACGTTTTAATCACCAAGCCCGCCGTCAAAATTCTTTCTCAGCATCTCGAGCTTCTCGAAGCTGCCAAAAAGAACGGTGTGTTCGTCTACATCGAGCACCACAAACGATTTGATCCCGCATACTCCGATGCTAGACACAAGAGCTTGGGATTGGGCGATTTCAATTACTTTTACAGTTATATGAGTCAACCTAAATCACAACTGGAGACTTTCAAGGCTTGGGCTGGTGTGGATTCAGATATTAGTTATTACCTGAATTCGCATCACATCGATATTTGCGAGTCGATGGTTTCACAGCAGGGATTTTTACCAGTCAAGGTCTCAGCAAGTGCTAGTAAGGGAACAGCTGTTGGATTAGGTTGTGATCCAATTACAGAGGATACTATTTCTTTACTTGTGCACTGGGTCAAGAAGGATGACCCAAACAAGAGGGCTACCGGTGTGTACACTGCTTCCTGGACTGCACCACAAAAGGCTGGTGTTCACTCAAATCAATATTTCCACTACATGGCCAGTGGAGGAGAAATCCGCATTGATCAAGCCAAGAGAGGATACGATGTTGCAGATGACAAAGTCGGTCAATTGATGTGGTATAACCCATTCTACATGCGTTACGCACCAGATGAGGAGGGCAACTTCGCTGGACAGACAGGATATGGTTATGTCAGTTTCGAGAAGTTTGTCGATGGATGCAGATTAGTCAATAGAGATGGTGTCTCTGCGGTCAAGGTCTTGGATGATAGAGGATTACCCACTTTGGGCAATACTGTCGGCACAACCGCTATCTTGGAAGCTGGAAGAAGAGCTTTAGATGAGAACAGAGAGGTGGAAATTAAGGTCGAGAATGGCGTTTGGTCTCTTGTTTAGGGAAAAGGAGCGACGGTTAATACTTTGGTGTTTAATGAACATCACTGCAAGGTGCAGTTGACATGAAATAATTATGATTACTTTGATGCTTTCTTCTACTAAACATGTTGCTTTCTGTTTCGCTCTAGCTTTCTGTTGTGCTTTGCTCTCCATAAAGTTGCCGAAATGATTCCTCTTGAAGACATCCAACGGGATCCAAAGCTTCAAATATCTGATCGCATGTGGGCAGAGCTGAAGCCTCCAAGAAAAAATGACACATAATGAATGGAACGTGCATTAGCCCCTTCATTCTCCTGCATAATTAAATGTCATGATCCCGGCAAAGGCTTTCTTCACTAGCTCGTATCGGCTCCTTTTTGAATGGCGTTATCACACCACTCATAAAAGCTCCTCAACAAACTAGCCGCTCGATAAGTTCAACAGATCTGATTACGGTAACGGCTTGCTGTTTTTGCTCTTTGTTCGAAAAAGTAGGAAGTTCCACGGTGCCGATTCATTGATGCGCTTCCCTGCGAGAGTTCTTCCATGGGTCTCGAAGACGTATACTCACCACTGGACTGGTCATTTGAAATATTCCTTCCAGCTTTTCACTTCAGAAGTCCGTCTCTTTTCATACGAGTAGTTTTAGTGCAACAAATGCATATAGTTCCTCTGGCTCGTCCGCTGATTGTTAGGAAGAGATTCTCCTTGTACGATAAAAACGTCCTTTTGATACTCCAGTCTATGAAGTGTAATGATTCTCAACTAAATCCTTATCTCCATCAAGAGGGCATCGCAACTTCCTCGCCAACTTAATAGGCAGGCACTAACATTTCGTATATTGTAGAGCAAGAGGCCTGCGGTAAGTGCTAGCCCTCAATGTTTACTCGTACAGGCTTGCTTACGATTCCCATATTTATTTACTCTTACATGTCACAACTCCGTCTTTGGAATATCTTTTAGAGCATTTCATCACCTTCAAACCAGCAGTTGGGACAAATGATGGCTACCAATTGTTATTGAATATCGGGTTCCCCAGCCTGCACCCACGAAACCGAGCCTCATTTTTTTTACGATTGCTACTTCAAATAACATTGATATCAGGTGGAGAACTGGGCAACTACATTGTACGATTCCCTCATTCCCCACATGTCAGAAAAATCTTCTCTATTCCTGATCCATGAATCTTTACGCTTTGTTTTACGCTAAGTCATGAATTCAGAACACACACTGACTCAACACTTAGAAGACAATGGCAAACGCATCAAGAATTCCTATTACTGACTTCCCTATATTCATGAAACTTGTCCCAGAGTTACGGAGTAAGATATGGCTTGCTACATTGCCAGATACTATTAAACCAGCTTTATTCCGATACAAAAAGGGATGTTGGCACCTTCTTCATCTTACGAAATACGATCCATGTGGTCAATATAACCGGCGGGATGACACGAAGAACATGCGTTTAGAGTTCCGCCACAATATGTTAGGCCATGTACAAATAGAGACGCGCCTAGTATCGGTTAATCACGAGGCTCGCGAAGTTGCTGTGAGATGGGCTCAAAAAAAGGGTTTTGTTGTTCAGAGAATTGAAGGGTATCCCATAATGTCATGTCCTTTCAATCCGGGACGTGATATACTATACATTCCACATGATGAAGTGGCTACGTTTATGGATGAACCAATTGATATACTTAACAAGGTAGACCCGGCCAATAGGGAACCCTTGCCAAGAACCTTCGTTAAGAATTTCGCTATAATGGAGGTATCAATGTGGACCCATGGACCTGCATTTCTAGGAAGACTTTTCAAGCATTTCGTGCCGATAGGAATGTTGGTCATTCTCATCCCTACGGAGCTAGGAACGAAATTTGCTGATCGGTATTTAAATCTACAAGAGCGATGGGAGTTCAGAAAAGGAGGAGCCTGGGTCTGGGACAACAAAAAAAACCTATGGAACGGTCATGGTAGACGGTTTCATGACAAATTGCAGTTTTACGGTGTTTTAGACAGATCGAGACATGACTATCGAAGGGTACTTGCAGACGATGATGGCTCCGACTTCAAGCTTCAAGCTGGTGCAGCCATTCCATCAAGACATAGAAGAAGTTTTTATTAAAGACCTGTACAAATACCTGATGGATTCTGCGCTCTAGCAACACGTCTTAGTAGATAATATTCTGTATGTAGCGTTCTTGAGATTTTGTCTCCACGTCTTTAAGTGTGATGTTACGTCCTAGACTTATATCTTAGTCTAGTGAAATCTCTTTAAGTAACTGTTCTTATTGTCTCGTTTTCTTCTTTAGCATTGTGATGATATTCAACCAACTGCACTGAGAGATCCAGCATCCCAACAGATGTGAGAAGACAAGATAACAGAACAAGAGTACCTGAAATGAGGGAATCGTGAAAAAAGTTGCTTGTATAATTTGACTTGGTCGTGGAACTGATTTTTTTTCCAAATTGTATCTGCAGTTGCCGAGGAACATAGGCAAGTCTTTTGACTGAGTCTTATAATGTCAGTATAAAAATATCAATAGCTTGACTCTTGCCGTATCAGTATACAGATTTGTATGGGCTGACTACATATTCTACAATGTTGTTGAAGTGATCCTCTGTCAGTTGAAAATCTTCAGCTCAGCGGTTATAAGATGCCATTTACATCTAATATTCGAAATCCTTTCTTGTCATTCCAGAAGCAACTTATGTTGGCAAACGATTACAGGCTTTGGGTCGATGGGGCTTCGCAAAAATAAAGATTTCTTGGAGCGTGCTGAAAAAGCTGATATGACGTCTGAGATATACAAAAGAGCTTGATAGTTGCTGCATGGCTCTCATCAGGTCATAAAAAATGATATCGGGACCTGCCTGCAAATTGTGGAAAGAATTTTGGCCACAAAAAGAATAATCTATATTGCTTCAAGAATCTTCTCAAGGTTTCTGTTGGTATCAACTTGGTTGATATAAGTGTAAGTACTTATTAGTTCTATGTGGTTGTATTCGTTCTTGATCATTATTATCTATGGGAAGCTAGTACTTAATATAGGGTAGCGCTAGCGCGACGCTAGCTAATACAGTGCCCTCTTTGATCACATGATCGATATCCCGACAGTTTCCGAAAACTTCAAATAGCTTCAACTAAATGATCTGCAGGAAGGGATTGGATGGAATTTTATACTCTTATGCAAAATACAAGTTGAGGATGCTCATGAATTGTGTGGGAAGTGAAGATTGGCTATTGGGGAGGTTTGCTTTCGGAAATAGATTAATCTAGCGTCGGGACTTCTTGGATGGAATGAAAGTCGCAAAAAGGGTTGACCCTTCAGGATAAATTGAGGGAATAGTCTAAGGAGATCGAAAGATAATGGGCGATAAAACTACTGCGTGAATTCAAGTAATGGACCTCACAGAAAAATATGTTCATCTAACAGTTTATGGTTTTCTTGGACTCAAGACTAAAAAACTCTCTCATCGTACACCAACCGCACATGTCTCAGCGATCGTGGAGATATTCACAATTTTTGGTCAAAGCTCTCGTAAATGAATATTAGAACGTTGAAATTATTCTGGATGCGGGTATCATAGCATTACCACTATCTACTTCACGCGTTCCTAATTGGATGAGAACTCGAATACTGAATCCGAAATTTTACTACAGTCATGATCCATGTCCAGTGCCCGATGCACAGTCTTGAATCTTCAAGAAAAAGCTCTCGTTTATCGGTCTCATCTTCGACTCTATCGACGAGGTCGAGGATACGGGGAGTTAGAATGGAGGTCAAATAACATTATTCGTGAGCAGTGACTGATTGCAACGGAGATGGCGGTATTTTGGATAGGGTCCCAGCTCAATCGGCGACAAAGTAATCTCACCTCCAGAGTGTAAGATATGTACGTTTGCCCCAAGGATAATTGGTAAGTGTGCTGATTAATTCTCACAGCCAGTTGTGAGAGATCATGGACATTTCTGTTTCGGAATGAGAATAGTGCCAAGAAAAGGATAGCAATCGAAATGCAAGAAAATGTTTCTATTATGTCCTATATCCTATGATTTACCTACTACAAAGCAAAAAGTTCAACCTGGGGTATTAAAGTGTATCTATCACAAACGGTACTTCTTCCACCTCCCAATAACTACCTGCACCTGAGAAAATTGAAATAGAAAGTTGTCAAGCGAACTCATTTCTTCTCGACACTCTTCTTGGCCTTCTTACTTTTGGGGGAGCAAGAGGAAAGAATGGAATGTAACCAAGTCTTGTAAGTGAATCGACTGCGAAGGGTAGTGGATGAAGATGTTGATGATCGAGAGGCACCGGGAAGAACTTTCTCGATGATTCTATGAAGAGAGAAGAGTATTGTTAGTCACAAATTCACGATTATCTAAGCTAGAAGACCATATAATGTAGGATCATCTTGTATTTCTATCTTTCTTGCTTTTGTACATTTCAATTTCTCATCCAAATCATTCACCCAACCCTCTATCAACAGTAAGAAAAGTCAAAGCGCTCCACTTACTGCGCCAAGAGAACAGCCCTATAGTAAACTTGTCCTTTGTCCAATTTGTCCATTGCCTCCGCGATACCCGACTCCGTCATAGGGAAAGTTTGAACGATAGGTTTAATTTCATGGAATGCAGCGAAGTCCAGCATTTGCTTGTGGGCACTTCTGTTTGCAACAAGGTTTCCTTGGATGTTGATACCAGCGACAAGGAATGGCATGTATGGGATCTCGAGGTTCTGGAAAGAAACTGTCAAGGGGTAGATGGTGGAGCGGGGTGCCATGATTGGGAGGATCAATTCCCAGTTTGGTTGAGCGGCAGTGGTAACGAGGAGACGGTTGATGGGTTTAGAAACCTTGAGTTCCTTAACATCCTTGGTAGTGATAAATTCGTGTGCGCCGAGCTTGGTGGCTTCAGCCTTCTTCTTGTCCGAGCTACTCAACACGACAACTCTGCAACCCATCTTGGCAGCAAATTGAATAGCCAAATGTCCCAATCCACCAACTCCCATCACAGCAACAACATCAGTGCTCTTGATACCCTGGAGGGCAGAGAATGTAGTAGCACCTCCACATTGTAAAGGAGCGGCAAACTCATCAGGAATGGAGGCTGGTGTGGGGAAAAGGAAGGCCTCACGCCAGATAGCGTGGGAAGCAAATGATCCTTGATCAAGATTGGCATATCCGTAAAGAGCACGTTCTGGACAGAAAACTTCGTTTCCAGTAAGACATTCATTGCAGTGGCCACAAGAATCGTGCTCGTAACCCCATCCTACACGGTCTCCTTTCTTGAGATATTTGGCATCAGGGCCAACAGATTCAACGATACCAACACCTTCGTGGCCAAGGACCATGTCGGCACCTTTCTAGATGGGGGGTTAGCTATAGAACAAATGACAAAGGGTGGCAAAGGAGTATGGACTAACGTAGTGAAGATCTGTTCCGCAAACACCGGAAGCGGTAATCTTTACCAAAACGCTGTCACCTTTGAGCTCTTCTGGCTTAGTGGTGGTGCTCTTGATGGGGGTACCATCTGCTCTGCCCTTGAAAACTGTGAAGGTAGGCATGTTGATTGTGTTTTGGAAAGAAGTAGATGATTTGATGATGGATTTGAAAAGTTGGAATTTCAAGTGAAGTTATAGATGCTTTTGAATGTCTTGAGAAGCTGGAGGGAAGAGTAGAAGAGGAAGTTGATTTGATATGGAATAAAATGCATTTACTATGGCTTTTTCCTCACATTATATAATCTTTGAACTCAGGGCCGCTCCTCCATGTTTGGGTCCAGGCACTATCCGGCCCATGGTTCCATGCGTTGGTATTGCTTAGTGATATTGACTATCGGCGAAGTGTACAAGCAAATGTACTCACGGGATTGTTCGTAATCAAACTTACCGATTCGCATCCGACAGAGGTCCCTGATGATTACCTGATCTTGAAGGAGAATCCGGAAGACAAACTATGGGCATTCAGTGCTTTATGTCCGAGTGGGACCCATGCTCTTTAGGCTTATGACTAAACGCGAAACAAAATTTACTAGGGTCTAATCTCCGGATACCCCTTTAGGGCTGAGCCATGTAAGCAATGTTGGTGACCAACTGTTGGACGATAAGATGAATTAACGGATCATTGGTTATTATCCACCAACGTTTGGATAATGCAAAGTTAATCTGTAACTACATTTCTGGAGTCTCGGAGTTAAATTGTAGAATTCTCAATTATGCTACCCCACGATTTTCGTGTCTTAACATGAGCCAATCAGACTACACGCATTTGCGCCGAAGGCTTTTCGGTAACCTTCCCGGCCTCAAGCCAAGAATCGAATATTGCTGGCTTAACACCCAAAGTCGATCATGCGTATCTATAAGTCGCTGTGCTTGCGAGCTACGAGAACGACAGTTCTCCATGATTGGCTCTGGCTTTATGATTGAAGATGGCCATGCAGTAATTTCTTTGTCATAATACAGCTGTGTGTTACAATGAAAAAGTAGATGATATCCAAGTGGTTAAAGCATTAATTCTATACGAATAATTATTGCTCATACAAGAGTAACTACCGAAGGATAATCTCGCTACTCCACAATATTGTTTCCCAATACAGCCACCACCCACATGCGTTTACCACGATGTGCATATTGCCATACCATTGCCAACCCGAGATTGAATTTGATAAAACTATAGTAATAGAATGGAAAGAAATATAAGGAAAAGAACGCCTGAAATCCATGCCTCTTGTTCATCATCATCATCATTACTATTCCGGAAATATCGTCCCCATATTTGCCCATAACATCTCAAAGTCTGTATATGAATCCGCTGGAAATGTCATATCAATGGATTGAGCCAAGATATCTTGAATTTCTGCGTTCGTCTCATTATCGAAAGATAACGAATCTATACCTTGCATCCCAGTGAAGCTATCATCGAGAAGACTCTCATATCCCGAGTCTCCGGCACTCATGACAGATTGTACTTCATCGGGCTTGGTCATGACTTTCGACTGTTGCGCCATCATTTGCTTCTCATAAGTCTGCGCGAGGCGGATATCCACTTTGGCACTGAGCTCAGTCATGACATTAGCAGCGCTGGCAGCTTGAGCAAAATTATTGCCAAAGTTATCGAAGACAGCGATGGCGAGGTCGAGAGCACCTCTTGCTGCTCGAGTCTGTGTGCCTTGAGGATATGCGAAAATATAACCGACGAGAGTCATTGCACAGTTCCATTGCCATTGGAAGGATTCCTGCCAGCCTGCTAGAATCGATGTCGACAAGATTACATGATGCATGATGTGCGTCAACTGCATAGCATGGCCGACACATTTGAGTGCGATTTGTTCTGAGAGTGCACTGGGTGTGCCTGCTGGATTGAAGACGATGAACGGCCGGCAGAGATTGGTGCTGAGATTGTGGTACATGAGTTCCAGGAGGAGTCGTTGTCGTTGAAGCCACAGTGGTGCAAATGGCTCGATGTTAATATGTGATAGGTCTGTGGAGAAAGGGGACCCGCCATTGAGACGATCAGTTTTGAGTGCCATGGGTACACCCCTGAGCCATTCATCCATTCGCTCTAAGTGCGGTTCCAGCATATCTGCATAAGTTCCAAGAGTTTGCAAGTCATCCCAAATGGTGCCTCTTACGTTGACTGTATTAGGGACTGGGGTATCGTAGAAAGCAGAGTAGGCCGATCGAGCAACAAGCAACAGTTTCGTATTATGAAGATTCCAAGTCAACCAGGTAACATTATCACCCAGAGGTGCAAAGCTTTGTCCTGCAGCAATGGCAACATCGCGGTCGTCTGTAGGAAGGGTGCATGTAGTATTACACTCATGAACCAAGAATGGACGACCGAGTTTCATACTCATTTTACTCTCCAGAACGTAGAGTGTCCACCACATGCGTTTCCGCAGTTCTCTTTCCTTTCTTGGCATCTCTTGGGGAGGCTCGACATGCAAACCAAGCATATAAGCTGTTCTTACAGCAGCACTACAAGCGCTGTCTGCCATATTTTGAAATGAACCACAGCAGAGGTATATGGAACATAGAATATGACATTGGAGGGTGGCTATGGTGGGCGCTTCTAGATCAGCTGCCAGTAGAGATTGACAACGTCGGTAATGCCATCTGCCAGCGATTGTTGCGTCGTTGACATTTACATTAGCTCTCGAGCCGGGATTATGTGCGCGTGTTACATTGGGCAGAAAAGACATGCCGTACTGCATACACATTGCGAGGATAATATCGACAAGCGCGGAAGGTTTCCTCTCTTTGTCGGAATTCATCCATAACGACTGGTAATGTTCTTTGAATTCTTGTTCATCGATAATGGGATTTGAGGTATAATATGATTGCCAAAAGAGCCCAAGAAAGTACTCTTCTTGCGTTGGTGAAAGATAGTCACCAACATTGAGGGGGTCTTCTATCGGGATCATCATCCCATTCTTGTTGTCTGATGTATCTGCTGTAGTCGGTCCATCGAGTACTTTACTCGCCGAGTTCGGTAACATGGCATGAGCAGAATGTTTTTGGTGTAGCGAAGCGGTCAAGAAAGTATTGAGGCGTCCGATAAAATAGTACAGTGATGCTGAGCCATACCATGTCTTCTGTGGGGAACGCGCGGTGCTGATGTGAATGCCTTCCCATTCTCTCTTGATTGAGTTTGCGTCAAATTCAAGGCCGCTCATACCACCCAAGCCACTCATACCGCTTAATCCAGTATCATGTCCCGATCGGGAACTTCCAATACTATTCGGCGGTGAAGGGAGTCCATGTGGAGGAAGCATTTGCATGTTTTGTTTGCTATCGCTTGAGCGCTCTTTATCGAGTTCCTTCTCGAGTTCTTGAACTTTTTGCTTAAGACGTTCAATCTCACGATATGCATGTGGAAGGGTTGCCAACTTCATAGCACCGCTATTGCTGCAGTTACCGCCTCGAGTTTTGCAGTTGTTACACGGGTGATCATTATCGCATTTGATCCGGTGAACTCGACACCAGTCGCACGCTTTGGCCACTTGACTTCGTTTTTGACGTGGACGGGGCCGTGGTGGAGGTTCTGGGGATGCAGAAGTACTAGGCGTAGTAGAAGGCATGCTCACGAAAGTGGTGAACATTTTGGGAGTAATGTGACGGGTATCAAGCAGAGAGACGGAGGAGAGATGCGCTGGAGAGATGATGGTGACTAGATGGATGTATATGCGGCACAGCAGCAACTGAGATTTGATAGTAGGTTGCTACGAAACCTAGCAGAATGTTGTTGCTTGTGATCAACGGTCAATTAGTACCTCCTAAGGTCAATTTCAGGAAAATTGAAAGTCTCAAGATATGAGCATAGAGGATACCAATCCTGTATGTACAGGATATGGAGTTTGTATGATTTGCGGTGTCAAAAGTGCGAGCAGATCTCTGGTATTCTTTATTTGTGCACGGGCGGCACAATTAATGTGTTTTGGGTGCCAAGGAGTCTACCCCAACCAGCCCCACCTGAAGGGACCCGGGAAGATAGATGGCTAGAATGCCACAAAACAACGTACGGCTTTTACGGCTTTGTACTATTCGATTTTTCCGTGGATGATGCCTAGTTCCAATCCCAAAAGGACTAGAAGTGAAGTATCTAACGAACTAAAGATGTATTGCTTTTAGACTTGATGCCAAAGGATTTGGTAGGGCTCGACCAATGATTCACCAGAATGCTAATGTTCATAGTTAAAGCGACATCTATCGGAATTACCGTCGATATCCAACCATCTACATCATGCATATGATACATTACAAATTTCTAATCGATTTATCTGAAAAGAGTTACCAAGCTTTGACTACTTAGGTACCGGTGCAACTGATTGAGGCGGAGATAGCGTTTTGGGCTTCGGAGAAGAGCCTATCATGCCCATGAGCCCCATAAAGGCTGCACTAAAACCCCTGTTGATCTGTCAAAATGCATTATCAGCCCTTACTTTCATCATTCCACCCCACCTACCGAAAACTGTCTGCGGAGTACATAATCTTATTTCCAAAAAGGAACTGTCTCATCACGACGTATCAACTTCGAGCAGTTAATCCACAACACTATCTTCATGGATAGAACATTATAATCGATAGATAAACCCACTGCCATTGTACGTACTTTCATCACACTACCTAACTTTAGCTACGAGGTCATTTAATACTACAATATCTCTCAAAGCAACAATGTTACCAGTAACTGCAAGTAATGGAGTTCTCACCCATTCAGATTGCACTCGGGTCCTCGCCACGTGAAAGACTTTCATCAATAGAAACAATCATAGGCGATCTCAGAAGTTATTACGACCACAAAATTACTGGCTGGAACTTCAAATTATACGTACTCGGGTCCGAACCCGTGAATTCCGAGCCACGGCAAAGAGCCGACTCAAGTTTCGCTCATGATAATGTCTTGAATACATGTCCCGGCTTTCTTATATCGGATGAATAAGCCGAGAGATTAAATAAGCTTACTTCGTTGCCAAAGAACAAGATTTGCCGAGTCCATATGTTTTTTCACTATGTCTGTATTCCGTCGTTGCGAAAGCGAAAACAGTGGGATTTCTGTTTCTGTC